CACCCGATCGCCGGCGCCGCGACGCTGCTCGGGTGGGGCGAGACGGAGGTGCTCCTCACCGCAGTGCCACCGGTGCACAGCGCCCTCCACGCGGCAGCGCTACGGCACGAGCTGCAGCAGAACCTTTTGTCGCTGCCGAAGCCGGCGCTTGTGCTGGGGCTGTCGGAAAATCGTGTTATTGCGGTCTACGCCTCGCTCGTGGCACTGCTGGAGCTCATTGAGCAGCAACTGGGACGGCATCAGTCTGGGAAGCCGGTCCCATTCGCGCTTTCCACACCACCGGCGGCGCCCGGTACCACGGTGACATGGGTGGATGTGCTGCTGTGCGAGGACAAACCGAAGTGTGGTGCAGCAGGAGCGTCACCCAACACGTCGCGGCCGAGAGGAACGCCGACGATGCATGTGGGAAACGACAATGATCTTGGTACGAGCCCCATGCTGCTGCCAGTTTCGACGGCTTTAATTGGGATGGAACAACAGCAAGCACAACAGCTGCAGGCCATGGCGCGGCATGCACCGCTGCGCGCTCGAGAAATGGAGATTATTCCAACCTATCAAGAGGTGATGCTTGGTCTCGGCAACTGGTCCGGTGAATGGGGTGGTGGCGGTGGCCGCATGATGCCGGCAGGTCGTGTCCGCACTTCCGCGCAACAGCGAGACCGGCAGCAGCGCCGCAGTGGGCCACAACAACAAAAACAACAGCGGCTTCGTGTCGCGGGCGGGGAAGATGGAGCAGGACACACTGCACAGTCCACGGCAGCAGCCGGAGCAGCAGCACAAAGTGTCACTTGCGCCTCTTTCAACTTATTCAGCGCCGAAGAGTGTCGAAAGCGGCTGCATCGCCTCTTGCAGTTCATCGCGGCGTACACCGCCCAGCGGCGTAAGCGTGGCGGGTCGTCGGCGGCAGTTGCAGCTGTCGTAGGAGGCGAGGCGAGTTTTGCTGGTCCCATAACGGATACTTCACCAGGGACGAAGAAAGCAGGGCCTCCCTCACCAAGAATGCAACTGCAAAATCAATCGCCACAGCAGTTAACTCCCTCGCGTGAAAAGGCCGGGTCGAAGCAAAACGTGTCGCCCATTCGAGGAGAAGCAACCCCGTTGATGTTGCCGCAGTCAGTAACAGGTGCTCTGCCGTCTGTAGGGAAGCTTCCCGGCTCGCCCTCGATGGAGGTGGCACGGCCGCAACACCGTCATCATCATCATCATCCTATTCAACAAAAGCAGCAACGGCGTCGGCGTCGGTCACGGTCTGCCCATGCCGAGAGCAGTGGCGACAGCGACCAGGAAGGGCGTAGCCCCGTCATTGCCGGTGATGAAGCGGCCCCGTGTTCGCTGGAGCGCAGTCGCGCCCACAGCAGCGGCGACCGACGGGGTGACAGCAACAACAATAGTAATACCATTAAGGGGGAAGAAGCGGCGATGGCGGCGCCCTCCTCGCGTTCCTCCAGTGCCGAGAGCTCATCTTCGAACCGTCGACGGTGGCGACGTCGGCGTGTGTGATCTTGCCATGCTGCCCTTTCTGTCTGTGTGTGTGTGTGTGTGTTGATGCAGCGGGGGCGGGGGGAGTGGAGGACCCGTTTGGAACAGAAAATGCATTTGGGTGATCATCTTGCAGGTGTTGTTGTTGTTGTTTTTTTTTTTGTTTTTTGCGGTTCTTAAGGAGCGGAGAAGAGACGAAGCAAGGGCTCAGATTGATTAATCCTTATATGTTTATGCTTCCTCTGTGGCCTCCAAGAGGTTGCGGACTAACAATATCGTCTCGGTGCATGTGTGGTTATGCTGCGACCAGTTTCGTCGCACCCCTTTTCTCATCTTCTTTTTTTTTTATTTTCTTTCCTCATATCACACGCACTCTCTCTCTCTCTCTCTCTCTCGTTCTCGCTCTAATGGGCTTTTCCATTTTTGACGCGCCTACTTACTTGTTCTGTGCCTTCAGTGACGGGTGGCGTATATCTTCCATCGACCATAGGCTTCCAAGTAGAAAAAGAGGAGTTCTGTGGCATAAGTCATTACAAATCGGCACACACCGCAACTGAAGAGCAGCAGTCATGGATCTCTTGGAGAGTGCATTCCAGAAGCTCCGCGATGTTCCAGAAAACTTCGATGGAAGCATCGCGACGGTCGTGTTTGATGACTCTGTCGACGTTCTGGTGTACTGCTGCGTGTTGTACGTCCTCCTCGTGTTCGTAGTGCCAGAGTATGTGATGAAGAACCGTGCCCCGCTGAACCTGCGGCTGCCTTTCATTCTTTGGAACCTGACGCTGTGTGTCTTCTCCATTTTGGGCGCGATGTCGTGCGTGGCACTCCTGACGTTCCTCGTCAACGACCGTGGTTTTTACCGGACGACGTGTTTCTTTGACAAGGAACTCATCTTCAACGGGAAGTACGCCTTCTGGGTCTTCTACTTCGTCCTGTCCAAGATACCGGAGATGCTGGACACAGCCTTCCTCGTCTTCCAGAAGAAGCCGGTGATCTTCCTACACTGGTACCACCACCTCACGGTGATGCTCTTCTGCTGGCACGCGCATGTAACAAGGATAAGCAGCGGCCTGTGGTTTGCCACGATGAATTACTGTGTGCATTCCATCATGTACTTTTACTACTTTGTGTGTGCGTGTGGGCTGCGCAAGATCATCCGCCCCATCGCCCCGCTCATCACAATGTTGCAGATCCTGCAGATGGTGGTAGGCACGTTCATTGCACTCTACACATGTATTCAGCGGCTCACGCACCCCCGTGGCTGCGACACCAACGATACCAGCATCCGCCTCGGTCTGATGATGTACGCTAGCTACCTCTTCCTCTTCGCGCGCTTCTTCGTGGACAGGTACTACACGTCACCCAGCCGGAGCGTCAAGCGGGTGGTGAATAGAGCGATTGCGCTGGAGATGGAGCGCGCGAAAAGTTTAAAAGGCGCGTGAAGGC